TCTATTCCTAGCCTTTGAAACTACTAGGTGATTTTGATTCACAACTAGATTCAAAAAATGTTTTCCAACTGAAACCCAAATCCAAAATCAAAGATAAGTGATCAGTTCATCCAAGCATTAAGAACAGGATCAAAATCACTGATACAGAATAATAGATCATTAAATATATGAATTAAAAGTAGTAGATAAGAATTTGATGATTACATCATGGTGGAGGAAGTCACTCTAGAAAACATAAAGCAGATTGTAGAAGAAGAAGAAAAAGAAATCCCCAAAACCCTATCCCTAGCTGTTCTTCAACTTTCTGCTTTATTTCTTCACTCCTCTACATCTTCGATCATGTCTCTTTTCTTTTTTGGGCCTTATATATGTGCTAAAAATAAAATAGAGAATAGAGGATAGAGAGGAAACCACTTAACGCTTGGGAAACGGCTGAGCGATTTAAGGAATCCTTCATCTTGAAGAAACCTCAAGGGTTGAGCCCTTTATAACTGTTGAGCGCCTGGGAGGCCGAGGCTGAATTCCACTACTAGACCACACTGCTCAGCCCTTTTAAACGGCTGATCCCTTTAGTCCCCTATTCTAAGAATGCTTGTGGCCTTGAATGTGCTCAGCACTTTCAAAGGTTGAGTTGTTTGCTCCTAAAGATCTCTAAATCTTCCAAATTGCTGGACCTGCAAAATAAGGGATAGAATAGTTATAAAAAGTCATTAACTCTACAAAATTTACTTCACTATAAACCCTTTTGATTGTATTTAAAATTATCTCAGCTTAACTACCCTATTTTAAAATAAATTGTTAGATAAGTGTCACAATTCAATAATTCATTTATTTAAGTTTGACACTTATCAAGATTTAAGAATAGGGTGTTTACCTACTGACCTTGAACTCAAGAAATCATCTTAGAGGAAGGACCTAGGAGTAAGCTTAGTCCCACCTGGGTGCCATAGAGATGTATCTTGACCTTAGGTTTTGGTGGCCTAGGATGAAAAAGGATATAGCTAAATTTGTATGTGGTTGTTTAGTGTGTCAAATAGTCAAGGTAAAGCATTAGTAACATTTGGGTTTGCTATAGCCTTTGAGTGTGTTCCAATGGAGTGGGATAGTGTTTCTATGAACTTCATGGTCGAGTTTCCTAGGATCGTAAAGGGACTAGATTTCATTTGGATTATATGGGATAGACTGAGTAAGTCTATTCACTTTAACCTTATTAATATCAGGTATTCATTAGAGAAATTAGCCAGTATCTACATTGGTGAGATTGTTAGATTGTGTGGTGTGCCATCTAACATCATTTTTGGTAGGGATCTTAGGTTTAACCTGGGATTTTAGGGGAATCTTCACCAAGCCTTGGGAATCAAGCTTAGGATAAGTTTAGCTTACCACTCATAGAAACATCCAATCCATAAGAACCTACTTAGAGCTTGTGTATTAGAGCAAGGGGATAGTTGGGACAGTTTCATGCCTTTGATAGAATTTACCTACAACAAAAGTTATCATTCTAGTATTTGGAATAGCATTCTACAAAGCCTTGAATGGAAGGAGGTGTAGGACACTATTTTTTTGGTGAGAAATTGATGAGAGCCTTGTGTTAGGGTCTGACATGGTGCAACAAACTAAGAAAAATGTAAAAATGATACAGGATAGGATGAAAGTAGCTTATTATAGGCAAAAGAGTTATGTCAATAAAAGGAGGAGAAGCTTAGAATTTCAAAAGGTTGTTCATGTATTATTGAGAGTCACTTAGTGGATTACGGTTGGCAAAACCTTGAAGTAAAAGAAGCTTGTTGGTCCCTGTTTACTAGAATCTAGAAGGGAGTTTAATAGATTCTTTCCTAAGATGACTCTATTTCCAAAATTTCTTGATTTTAACCTACCAAGATATTCAATACTCAACCTTTAATCAATTTGATTTAACAAATTATAGTAGATTACAAAGTACAATACCAATATATCAGAATTTCAATGTTAACGCAGCTAATCAGTCACTTGTAATCAAGGTTGATTTTATATTACCATCTTCATATTCAATTTCAATTACAAAAATAATATTCAGAGTATGTGTGGTAATTGAAATAACATATCTCATAAATCTTTGAATTCTTTAATCATATTTATAACAAGATTATTCAAGAGATATAGGGTAAAAAGATAAAGAACACGAAAATTTATACTAGTTCAGTCATCCACTTGACCTACATCCAGTTTTTTTTGATTTAGCATCCCACTAAATAAAAGATCATTCAATATAATATTGTTTACAAACACTATGCACATACAATATTACAAGAATGCTAACACACATCAATCTTCACACTACAAGACTGAAAATCATACAAATTTTTGTATCTCATAGAAATTATTTGAGAAATCCCACTCAAGATTTCAAGATCTCTTATTGAGACACCCTATCTCAAGAGATACATCATACAAAACGAAAATACAAATTAAAAGATCAGAAAGATATCACCTATTTTGTGTAGATATTGATCTTTCTCAATTGAATTCACTTCTTGAATTTCTTCTTTCAATAAAGATGCATGCATACAAATAAAAGACGTCTTCGAATGTGAAAAAAGACGTCAAATCACACCAGGCAAGACACTCCTTTCCCAACGTCGAGAGGTTAGGGACCTCCTTGTGGTTCTCGCAACTGGTGTTTCCCTAACATTGACATAGATCCTACACTTTCTAGAATCACGAATCTCACTATTTAGGGTTTTTTAACCCCTTAGAAACCATCTTAACACTTAAATATCTAATCCAATCAACCAATTACTCTTAATAATCTCAAAGGACATTTATTTTACATCACCACATATCAAATCACTCAATTGCATCAAAACCCTCAATCATACAAACCCCAACCCTCAAAGAGACAACATATATAGCATATCATAAATCTACATCATAGAACATGAAATTCACCATGATTATCCATGAAAAATACAATAACATTAATTATATGGTAACATCTATTTTAGATCATCAACATAAGCATCAAATGAATTTCAATCAATCAGCATAAGAGGCTTAAGGGTCGTCTAATTATTCATACCCCTCATATGTGCCCATAGTGAGACATTCTCACTCCCTTTAATACCTCATGTGACAACCTTTGGGCATAAGCACACTCTTCTATTATCTTTGCAACTACTCCATGCATTCTTTGGGGTTTCCCTATAAAGTTTCCTTTGTAGACTCTTATGGTTTAGAATGGATGTGCAAAAACTGACCTAACCCTTTCTTTTTCTTATTTTTAATAAGGCTTTAGGTTTAGCTCAAGAGTCCAACCCAAAGACTCCTCTCTAACCCACCACCTATTCTCTTTAATTTTATTTATTAAAAATATCATTAATTTATATTATAAACCCAATTAAATTATTAATTAAGTCCATAATATAAGTATTATTTAAACAACTTCATTTTATTTTTATTTTTAAACAGGATGTTACACTTTAAGTGTTCATAATCCGTCTTGTTGATTAAAAACTCAAATATGAAAAGTATAAACATACACTCATATCTAATTTGAAATCTAAGGCTAACCCTATCAACAATACATGTATTTCAAACACTCAATAAACCCTAACCCTAATGATATGGTAGGATAGGAATGATAGAGGTACAATAACATAAACTATGAAGGTAAAGTTATGAAAGGTAAGGGAGGCATTCACCCATAGAACAACACAAAGATGAATTTCGGCTTGGGTTTCTAACCTCTTTTTCTTTCTTTCTTTTTTTTTTTTCTTTATTCTCTTTGTCTTCTCTTTTATTTCATAACGACTAACTCTAACTCTTTCTCTATCCTCTTTTTATAAGGCTGAGGTGGGTATATGGCTTAGTGAGTTTAACCTTTAATTATCTTGTCCCTACTAATTCTTGGCATTAAGGTACTAATATATTTTAATAATAATAATTTATAATATTAATATAATCTCAAAGTATAATATAATATATTTAGTATCAAATATCAACAATTTATAAAATAGAAGTACTTGACATGAATGTCACATCACTTAACGAAGGTACTTGACGTGAAAATAAAAAGTCTTAATGGATAAAAAATTTTAAAACTAAGATCGATCAAATTTTTATTTAGGAACTAAAAGTGAAACTTAAAAAATTTAGAAACTAAAAATATATTTAATTATAAATAATATTCAAATTATTTTTATTTGTGCTCAATTGAATTGTTGTGATTACCAATTTTATATTTTATACTAGAAAAATAATATTTTTAATGTTAAGAACAAATTCAAACATAAAAACTATTCTCAAATTATGACTTTTAAATCAATTCATAATATTTCCACTTAAGAGTAGTGTTTCTAATAGTATAATTATAGTGAAATTATTTAAATTCATGTTTTATAAACTCGATAATATTACATTAAACATAAATACTTCAATTAATTTGTTCTCTAATTATATAATATTTAAGAATTATTATAAAAAAAATGTTTCATAATTTTTAATTAAAAATTGTCAAGACGGGTGATTATACTTAAAAAGTCATATCACCAACAATAAAATTGCATAAAAAATAAAAAACGAAAAACAAAATCTCACGAATCAACTCTCATATAAAGAATAAAAAAACACTTTAAGCACCACTTACTACCTATCAAATCCATTCAGACAGTGCTCACTATAACTGTTCTTAGATTAAAGTCCTTAGATTGATCCAAAGTAGGATGACCAAAATACACGATTTCATTTGGTCCTTATGAGATCTATTCAGAAAAATTATTTACACTATTTTAAAAATTAAGCTATTACATAATATTTCATAGAAGAAACTGAATCCAACCATGAAAAATTAATAAATAAATGGTAGTAATTAAAACAATTATTAAAAATCCGTTGCAGCCTGACTCAGTTTCCATCAGATTCTCACTGGTCACTGCCACTCCTTCATTTTCCTTATTTCCCCGTACCCCATAATAATGACTCTCTTTCTAACTTCATTTATGACCCTTTCCACTTTCCACAGTGAAATGAAACTCTTTAAAACCGATCATTGTGACGTTGGGGTGTTATTTCCTCTGCAAAACAACAATCTTTAGTTCGTTTTTGTTACCTCATGTGTGCTTCATTTTTTTGTTTTCCCTGGGTCTTAACTGTCCCCTGTCAGAGCCCCTATTTACTGCTGCTGCCACAGTCTTTTCATGTGCCATTCACACCTTAACTTAGCATCAGACTCAAACCATGTGTGTCTCCTCTCCTTTGTCACTTACCATTACAGTTACTCACTCTCTTCACCCTTTTCCTCACTCACTTGTTACTTCAACAATATGAACACTGCTACTACTAAGTCATAACTAGTACAACTGCATATTTCTTCTTCTGTTACCAAGTTCAATTGTGATGGACACCACTTCTATGCCCTCTCCTAAGCCACCACCGGGGTTCCCAGATTTGTATGGCAAGCGTCGCGAAATGGCCAAGATTCACATGCTGGAAAGAGAGATAAGCTTCCTTGAGGTTCGTTTCACTTTGTTATTAAACTCTGAATGACTCAAACTGAAAGGAAAAACAAAACTTTTGAACTTGGTTGAATGTTAATTATGACTTTTTCTAGATAGAAGAAGTGGCATGTGCTGGTTACTACTGTCGCCAAATTTCTTGGTCCTGGTTGCATTACATTTCATGATCAAAACCTGAGTTTTAAGTATGAAACAGAGTAGTGAATGCACTGTCCATTGCCGAAATGGGATTCATGAGTAGATAGATAGACTTTCATGTTTCAATATATACAATTGCATGAATCAAGAGCATTCTTTAATTTGGCTTTTTGCCAGAAGATTTGACATTGTGAGCTAACTGATTACTACTTCGAGTTCGAGGGGTCATATGCCTTTATAGATTACATTTAGGTCGATGGGAAAGAGTTAGAATTGAGTGAAATATAATGCAATGAAATTGATAATAGATTGCCTTATTTTTCTGTGTTTCATTATATTCAGTTTTTAGTTAGAATTGAGTGAAATATAATGCAATGAAATTGATAATAGATTGCCTTATTTTTCTGTGTTTCATTATATTCAGTTTTTTTTCTTCTTTTATTTAGGGTATGGGACCAAGTCTGTTTTACGAGGGATATTAATTTTATAGCACTCCACAGCATTATGTTCCTTTTTATATCCAAACATAATAAACTAGCATTTATTAATATTCAATAATATACAAAATTATAAGTTGTCATTGTGAGCCAACCACTAGCATTTATTAAGCCTGGAGAGAAAATAGTAAAAACACTGCGGAACTTTTGAGCTGTGCTCCTTGGATGCTGATTGAGGGGCTCACGGTAGGCCATATTTTCCAAGATTGTGAATCTTGTGTAATTATTGAATTGCATAATAAAATTATGTTAGTGATTTATACAATTGGGAAAATTACAAAGAACGATGCAACACATGTCAGCATGACACTCATACTAGTATCAAACTGGCCATTTTGCTTCAAGGTTGTGCTGTGTGCATAGACCCTCTTTAACCTAGTTAATTACCCTCCCATTGTGACCTCTTTTGGTGTTGAACAAAATTTATCGACAACTTTGCATCAAACAGGAAGAATTAAAATCTTCTGAAGGCCTTCAAGCAGCTTCAAGATGCTGCAAAGAGTATGTCTATTTATGGCTTGCTTGTATTATTCCGTTTAGATTCTGAAACTAGAGAATTTCCTTGAAATATTTTAATCGAATGAAATAACATTGCAGGATTGATGATTTTATGATGACAAACTCAGATCCTCTGTTACCTACGTAAGAAATGCTCATGCTTAACTTTGTTAGTTTAGAAAATAGATCATGATTATTATGCCTTTCTCAGTCAGCAGGAGCAGGAAGAACCGCAAGTCAAGTAACTTCTGGAAGTGGCTGTGGTACCTTTCTTCTTTGATAAATTGTTACTTGATTTGTATATGCCAACAAACTGTTAAGAGTTGATTTAATTGGAGGCGCTTATAATTTGTCTTGGTTTAACAACTGGAACTGTGATGAATGTGCAAATGATGTACCTATAACAAGTACATGTATTAAAATTTGGTTGCAACGTACATAGATTAATCGAGTTTTATATAATTAAATGATACAAAGTTAACCAGAAGTACTTTTTTTTGCTTTCTCTTATTAAAAGTCTGATTTAGCTTTGATGGGTGACACTCTGACTTATGCCTAGGTTTTTAGTTCCTTTGGTCCTTAGCCTCATACTAGCATGCTGCTAAATCTACCAGTTTTTTGTGTATATATCTGACATGCACTCCCTTATATCTGAGATGAACCAGATAATAATTCATAAGCCGGCCTATATTTATTTAGTAAAGCAGCAACTTCTAATTTAATAATAGCATGTTTTTGATAAATTTCTCTAAATGTTTAGGAGAAAAAATTAAATAAATTTTTTATAATTTTTACACAATTTAAAAAATATATTTTGAAGAAATTAATATGAGAAAATTTTTGAAAATTAGTTTATGCATAAAAATAACTTTAACTTTTAGAGACATTTCTTATTTCTTCACATTTTTTCCTCCTAAAAATTTTCTTCACATTTTAAACAATAAATAGCCAGTGATATATGGATACTTCAAATTGTTTACAATCCCATATCATGCCAACACTAGATACCTAAACATCTTAAAGAAACAATAATTTTAAAGAAATAGACAAAGATTTAAAAATTATGGGTACCCACTTAACTACTTTCTTGAATAACATGAGTGGACTTTTGGTGCAGTGAGATCCCTTGCTTTAACTTTTCTTGGATCTGCCGTTGGTGCTGTGATGGGTGCTTTGAACATCTTAACTTGTCAAGTTGCTGTTCCCATTGCAAACCATGCAATTGCTGCTGTAGTTGTCTTCCAACTATCAATTGCTGCTTTGTTGGAAGATCACGTTGCTGCAAAGATAGCCCATGTGGTTGCAAAAATTGTTGCATTCTCCCAAGTTGCAATTTTCGGTGGCCTTTTCCCTCTTGCTGCATTTGCAAGTGCTCTTGCTCTTGCTCATGCTCAACCTGCCCCAAGGTTCGGCCACGTTGCTGTTGTACAAATTCTTGTTGGAACCCTTGTTGTTCATGTTGCTAGTATTAATATAGTCTTACCAAAAAAAAAATGTTTAAAGCTATAGTCTATAAATCTTGTATTTATAGTTGCAATGTTATAAATATTTAAAATATAGAGGTCTATAAATGTTCTGTTAATTTTTTCATCATGTGGATACTCTTGAAGCAACTGTAATATTTACCAGCAATTATGAGTTAGATTGTTTGAATAGTTTGAATTGATCCTTGATTACATTACTTTTCTTCTCGGAATTTCCAGACATCATTATTACGTGTGAAATGACAGGCACAATTGCGAAAATATGCGGTGGAGTCCGGATCCATAGTTTGATTAGCTTATCCATTTGTTTCATCCTTTTTTCTTAGCATGGGTAGGTAGTAATGATTCAGAAACTATTGTTGACATGACTTTCATACGTATAATTTATTCTAATTTTAAGGGGTGTAATTATTTCTATTGATGATAACACTTTATAATTTACTCTTGTTTGTAAATCATGAAAATAAGTTGAGCATGCTAATGGTTTATAAAACAAAGTCAACATCAATAAAAATTTGAAGTTTATGGATACAAGTGTTTTATCTTATCTTAAAAGAAAAGTAAGGATGAGTAATCAAAGAAATAATTACAGAGACTTTCGCAAATAAAGCATCACAAAAAATCAATTAGCAGTCCAAAACTTTTTTAGCTCATTGCCTCGTTCATCGATTTGAATTTGCTTAAGCAAACTCCTGTTTTTAAAATCCTTTTTTGGAGTGAGGAATTGTACCCTTTTTCTACCCTCGTTTTGATCCCCGCAAGAAGTTGTTGGTGTGATCAATGAAAGTCGAATGGCAGCGAAATATGTGATCGCCATGTGCTATCTTTTCTTCGTAACTGTTAAATGACACATGAAATGTCTTTTCCTTTCATCGCCTAGATTTGCTCAGTGGCTAAATATTGTATGGACATAGACATGGACACTTTGATATAAACTAGACATTTGAAATTATGGTCGAAGAGTTAACTCAAAAAGGACACAATTTGTACTATGGTCGAAAACTAGATAACACCTTCACTGGTCCAATTAATTGCACTCATGTAGATGATAGAGAAAGATGAAACAAAAACTTCACAGTATGGAGTGTTTCCATATTTGTAAACGTGGCCCATCTGAGCACAGGAAAACTGACAGCGATAAGATTTTCGATTTTTCTCAAGTTAGCCTTTGAAAAACTATATTCTTCCCAAAATGACCTCCGGAATCATGCCAAACTTACAAATTAATGTTCTAAGAAAAATTCATTATTATAATCTTAATATATATATAGAGAGAGAGAAAAAACATAAGGTACAATTGTAAAATGACTTTGAATTTATGAAATTTCACACTATTGTTTTTGCACTCTGGCAACACAATTTCAAATTCGTGAGGTCAAATGAAATCTCATTCTTAAGGATAATTGGCTTAGCCAGTTGTTTGTACATAAATCAAGGCCCTTGTTTTGTAACATAAGTTATACTGGTACACACAACTAAACAACAAACAAAAAGAGCATATCTCCTCACTCCCTCTTTTCAATCTCAACTTGTCTTTTAAAATTCCCACAAGAAAAAAAAAAAAAAAAAAACATACCCCCCCCCCCCCCCTTTTAAACCCCAACTTTTTTTTAAAAATCCCCAAAAAAAAAAAAAAAAAAAAACATACCCCCCCCCCCCCCCTTTTAAACCCCAACTTTTTTTTAAAAATCCCCAAAAAAAAAAAAAAAAAAATACACAACCTTCTAAACGTCGAACTAAATGATAATATTGTTATATTGTTTGGCAACAAAAGCCTCAATCAAAGGCTTGTTTTGTTGGGCTGGAAGCAGTGGGTGAGCTGTAAAGCCCACACAATCACAAAAGAGTCCAAGAAAAAGCAACTGGGCTTCTAACTTGGTGTTGCGCATTGCTCCACATGATGCTACCAAACGCACCCCTAGAGGAATCAGTGACACCCTTCTTAGACACAAAGGTGACCGTGTACCTTTGCCTCTCCCCCACTTTCCCAAAGACAAGCCTGGCGGGCTTCACCGTGACCCCCACCGTGGAGGGGGCGTCGACGGTGACGTTGTAGACGGAGTTAGGCTCGCCGACGTTGGTCAAGATGCGCGTGTACCTCACCACCCTCTTGCTTCCGAACAAGACCGAGAAGGAAGGGTAGTTCAACTGGCCAGGGTCAGAGAATTTCCTGGTGCAGTTCACAGTGGGACGCTTAACAATGAGTTGTATCTGTTCAGGGATGTAGTCCAGGGAGCAGAGGAACTTAATGTAGTCGTTAGTGGATGCATCGTAGACAAGCCCGGGAGAAAATGCCTTGTGCGGGTTTACATGGCCCGCACCGTGAGCCCACGGCGTGGAAAGCCCAGCCCCTGCATCGTCGTGAAGTGGGGACCTGGTGTTGTCGTGGACGTACGCTGTTGTCATGAGCGCAGATTTTATCGCGCTGGGACTCCATTCTGGGTGCGCTGCTTTCAGCAACGCAGCCAACCCACTTATGTGTGGACATGACATCGACGTCCCTACATTATTACAAATGTGTATATTTAATTTAATGCTGATAGGCACGATTCACTGAGAGTCTGAGTCTGAGACAGAGAGAGACTGAGAGAGAAACAAAATATACCTGACATAATGTTGAACTGCGTCTTGCGAGTGTCATCAGTCATCCCGGAGGGCCCAATGGCTTCGGACCAAGCTGCTAGGATGTTAACCCCAGGCCCAATAACATCCGGCTTTAAGATCTGTTTCGTCACCATATTGGGCCCTCGGGAACTGAAAGCTGCCACAACAGGTGATGGCCTAACGTTCAAAACTGTTCCGCGGAAACTGAGAACTGCCGTGGGCATAGGATCCGAAGTGGCGTACTCCTTGATCTGCTCCCCCACCATCTTCCCAACCGCCACAGCCGGTAGCAGGTGACTATCCGCGACTAACTCCTCCCCGCTCGCGGCGGTGTTCGCTAGAATCATCCCAATCCCACCGGCGTCACGCACCACCTTACCTTTCTCCACGCGCGCGTTGATCCCACGGTCGCATATCACCACCTTGCCGCGAACCTTAGCCGGGTCGAGCGAACCGGCCATGCAGAGGCTCCCGGATTGGTTCAACCCTTTGCTGTAAACCAAACCAACCGGTTCAATCCCCATTCCGTTTCCGCTGTAAAGCGAAACGCCGGTGAACCGTTTTTTATTACCAAGAACAGCGTAAGCAGGGAAATCACGATCCAAGGTTCCAGCCCCGACGGTCATTATCCACGGCGCCACGTTGGCGAGCGAGGCCTTCTCCGGTCCGCTGTTCCCGGCGGAGCAGGAAACGAAGATCCCTTTCTCCACCGCCGAGAAGGCGCCGATGGCGATGGTGTCTCGGAAGTACGGGGCGGAACCGCCGCCGAGGGAGAGAGAAAGCACGTCGACGCCGTCCTGGATGGCGTGGTCCATCCCGGCGAGAATGTCGGACGCGAAACATCCGTCGGTCCAGCAAACCTTGTAAGCCGCGACACGTGCCAGCGGCGCCATCCCACGTGCGGTCCCGCTGGCGTAACCCAGGAGGCTGGCGTTGGCCACGTGCGAGCCCGCGGCGGTGCTGGCCGTGTGAGTCCCGTGGCCGTCCCTGTCTCTGGGCGAGGCGGGCTCCTTGGAGGCGCCTCCGGAGGCCATGTGGAAGCCGCGCGAGAAGCTTCTGGCGCCGATGAGTTTCTTATTGCAGAGATTCGCGGAGAAATCGGGGCCGCTCTCGCACTCGCCGCGCCAGCGCGAGGGGACGGGCGGCATGCCGGCGTCGTTGAAGCTGGGAGACTCGGGCCACACTCCGGTGTCGAGCACCCCCACGATAACGTCGTGCGTGGCTAGGTTGAGATCCTGGGCCGTGTGGCCCTCCCAGAGGCCCGTTTGCGTGTCCAGGCCCAGAAACTGCGGGGTGCGCGTGGTGTGGAGTTTGTAGAGCGTGTCCTCGAAGACTCCGAGCACGGAATCGGATCTGAGAAGCTCTTGCACTTGCGCGTCGTCGAGTAACGCGGCGAAGCCGCTGTAGGAGTTGGTGTAGGAATAGAGGAGCGAATTTGAATTTGCATTTGAATTTGAATCTGAATCTGAATCTGAAAGTGAGAGAAGCGATTGGAGACTGGCGCTGTACCAGTCGCGGTGCGTGGGGAAAATGGAAGGGTTGAAGACATCCTTCATGCGGACTATGTATGTTTTCTTGGCTGATAGGCACCAGCATTGTACGAGGAAGAACAAAGCAAAGGTCCAAGTGGAAACGAAAACGGAAACGGAACCCATTTCATGAAGGATTTGTTTGCTTTGTTTAGTAATTCCTGTTCCTATTTAATGGATCTGAATGGGGAGGGAGAGGGAGTGTTGCCTTTATAACAAGGCTCGAGTTTCTTAATGGACTCTTTCTTTCCTTTATTTACCTTTCTACCATCGTTTTGAGAAAAACAATAACTTCTTTCTTCTGGTCTTCGCTGCCGTTATACTTTTTGACTTCATCTTGGACTATATACTGTTCCCCCGGCGTGCGTGCTTTCGCTTTTATTTCGCCTGCACTTTATTTATACTCATTTCTATCGCAACAAAATTTATTTCTCTGCTCAATTTCAATCATGTATGTTCCGGAAGAATATAATTAGGGGGTTTGACCATGTTACATTACTAACTTTGTTACCATTATTGTACTGTAGTACATTCAAAAATTATAATTTGGAGTATTTATGGCTTCAGCAAACTAATGAACTCGACAACCCGCCTTAAATTGATTTAATTAATTCGGATTTCTTGTTATTTAAGTTAATCATGTTAACTTCTGCTGGTTATGATTTCCATTTTTAGGTAATGATATTTTTATTTCTCGTGAAGTTCGTCTTAAACCAGTAGTTTCTAAACAACTCGATCTTAGATATTGATATTAGTGGCTACTTACAATTATATACTAAGTTTAACTTGTAAAAATCACATATGTATTTCTTTTTTATCTATATCACGATTAATTTTATTAAAAATAATTTTGATAGTATCAAAGTGACAAAATTTTCCTTTTTAATATTTAATACAATTATATATTCAAATACTAATATTATTTATCACAAGTAATAATTACTTATATTTCTTCAGAAAATTATCTAAAAAATATTCATTTTTTATATACATTTATGATCTAACAAAGATTAATCATATATTTCTTATCAATACTAAAGTTACATTAAAATATAAATAAATAATTGAATTACATATTAAGAATTCAAACACAAAACCACTAATATTATTTATTTATATATATATACATGTGACTAAATATCATTACACTTTTATTCCCTTACTTTTTTAACTACAAGATTTTAGTTATTTAATTTTTGTAGAGTATGCCTTTTTAGTCTAACTAATGTTCATTTTAATTATTAAAATTATAACACGTCATATATTTAATATAAAATATACTTGATATTATAAAATTTGACAATGATATCCGACGTGTAAGCTTTTTTTTTTCTTTTTTTTTTAAGAACAGACTTATAATATTATTAAAAATAATATGTGTCTATTAATGTCATTGAACAGCCTTTTTACGTATAAAATTTTTATTGCAGTCTTAATTCAATAAAATATACAATTAAAATAAATAATATTAGTACAATATATATATATATATAAGAAGGATTATAATAATATTAGTATAAATTTTATTAAATATTACACTGCTTAATATCTTTATATTAAATGTAAATTTATAAATTTATCTATTAAATTGAAAGTTTATATCATTTTATATGTATATATTAAATTTTTTTAAAATTAAACAAGAACTTAAAAGTAATTAAATTATTTATATTTTAACATATTAAGCTATCTTTTGCGCGTCTTAAAATTTGAGAAAAATATTTACATTATGTGAATCAATTCGTAGAGACGTAGAAATTACCGAGTTTTAACTCTTCTTTTGTCAATTTAGTATTATTAGTTTGTACGAACGATAGTTAGTACATATTTATATATTTATTCATCCATCGGAATTATAAAACGTATTTATATTAACTATTGTATTATTTAACTTATTAATTAATTCTTACATTTAAAAATTTTAATAATTATATTATACTTAATAAATATAATAAACCATATTGTTTAATTTGACTATATATCAAGTTTGATAAATATAATGTTTATAAAAGGTTAAAAAAAATAATACTAATATTTTTTTATGAGATTAATTTTATTACTTTTAACTTTCTAATTTTTAACATTTTATTTTTTTATCTATAGAAATTATAATGATGACAATAAAATAATTTAAAGTTAAGATTTAATGTATATTATTTTAATCCTTGATTACTAAGTTGATATTAGTAGTTCCATTTTATTTCTTTAATGTTAAACAAGTTATAAAAAATTCCAAATACAAAATTTATTGCAATCTCAAATAAAAAAAAATAAAAAATAAAAAAAGAGATAAGAATTGTCCCTCTAATCATTAAATAATCCTAATTTATAAAAAAATATATATATTTTAAATTCTTTTGTCATGAAAATATATATTTTGTAAAAGAATTATTATATTTTTCTTATATATAAATATTATAGATTATTTTTTCCCCACAAAATTTTTTTTTTTTTTTGATCCGTCACTAATTAAGACATGTTATTATAGCTATCCAGCTACGTTACGAATGTATGGTTTTGGCTATCGTCATTTCCTAGTTCTTCGCGATTGTCTTCTATATGACACTTTACATTTTCGGTGCCGGTAATTTAGATCATGGGGTCGATTTCGGAGGAGATAATATGAAATATTTGCCTTTATTATCAAAAGATAAAAACATGTGTCAAGTGATGACAAACACCAAATAGCTGGATACACGTAATGGTAATAAAGGTTCCACAACTCTACCCTTCTGTGTGGGTGAAAGAGGATTTAATGTGTGTGTAACTTGCTGATAAGTTTGTTTCGTTATGTATAATGTATTATATTATATTACTTCAACTAACCCAACCAAATCTTCACGTTTATATGAGCATGGGCACTGCACAATGTTTGAGACTACTAGTATTTTATTCCACTTTGTTATAAAATATTGTACATAGCATAAAGCATAATGGATGAAAGGAATTATTATATGTTGGGAATGAATCAACAAAATCATTAGCTATATAGATGTTGAAAGTTGGCTGCATTCTTTTGCAAGTGCTCTTTCTACTTCTTCTTTACATTAAGGTTCAAGAATCGTGATAAGATTTCTTCTAGTTATAATTACGATGATGCAAATGATATTAGGTTTAGTGGGGTTTCAAAGTTCTATTTCAATTTCATGTGCTAAAAAACAAGTGCATGTACTTCTGTTTTGTTTTCCTTGGCGGACAATAAGAAAATATTGGATCAAAAATATCTATCATCTATGTCCTTACATCCACGCAAAAAGTACTCCGAAATCTATATGTTCATCAAATCATTGTTAACAATTAAGCATAATAGAATTGGGCCTTAACTAAAGGTTACGTTTCATATAAAGAGTATTTTAATACGTACTTTTGAAAAAGTGACATCAGAATCAAATTTCTCATATTTATTTGAAAAGAAATAAAATCGAATTTTAGGAATTGGAAAATCTGACCTTGGTAGGTGAGAATAAAAATAATGGTAATAATTAAATGTAAAGTTATTGAACTTTTCTTTAATAATTGACAATTAATAAATATATTATTCTTAAGAAAATTAAATAACAATCGAACGTATTTTATAAATGTTCAGATTCCTTTCAATCTCATTTTCAGGAAAGTTGTTTAATTTTTTTAAAAAAAAAATTTGGGTACCAAAAAGTTTAGTTGAGAATAAAAGATTCTCAATACTGTAAAAGTCGCCTAAATAATATTATCGAATTCATAAAATTTATTTACTATTTTAGAATATCAGCTAGAAAAAAGTGGTATATGTATGATTCATTTGATTCTTCCAAAATAAATAAGTGTACTTGTCATCAACTTTACAGTACATAATTTCTGAAAAAAAAATGAAAAAAAAAAAAAACTTACCGTACACAATTGTTTTAGTTTTTTAAATATTAAACAAAAGATTGTTTTTGTTTGTTTACTTTAAAAATAAATCAATTTAATTTTTTTTTCAAAAAAAGGAGAGACAGTTTTGTTTGTACAAGAATATTAGAACATTTTTAATGAGAGCAACTCTAAAGAGTTGCTTGGTGTATAGGTTCATGTGTCGGGTGATCCGCTGGCGGCCATGCCTCCTCTACTGGTCGCGCTCTCTGTCGGACTTCCTGCCTCCTTCGCTGGTCACACCCCTCTTTTTTTCTCTTCTCCCCTTTTTCTTTCTTCCCTTTCCCTCTTTTTTAGTTAAAAATTTATATTATTATATTTAAATAACTGTTACTTGTAGAAGCATCCCAAAAAACTTTGATGCCCCAAGACTTTTCCAATGGTAAGTTTTCTCGTGGATCTGTTGCTTGGGCTAATAAGAAACTCTCCAAACATTTACCGTTGGAGATGCTCTTACATGATAAAGAATTTGTTTTACTTCCTTTTTATATTGGAATTTTTTACTTAGTTTTTAAAAATTTTCAATAAATTTTTGTGGAGAAAAGGTAAAAATTAGAAGAAATGTTGAATAGTGTGTATCGAAAACTCATACTTTTTTATACTAAAATAGTAACACTAGTCAGATGGAGTATAAAAAATGGTTAGATGGAGTATGAAGAAAAGTCAAATGGAGTATAAAGAAAATTCAGATAGAACATTACGTATTTTAATATTGGTTCGTTTCAACTATTGAAACTACGTCAAGTTCTCAATTTAATTAGATTGAGTTCTACTATATTTCAACAAAGATACAAGTATTTTTTTTTTCAACAAGCCATTTGTTTTCAATCCTAGATATTCTTTGACTTGCCTTTTCAAGCAACTATTCAAGTTTTTTTTTTCACAATAAGTCTCTCCAAGCTTAACAACCAAGTATTCTTTTTCAAGCAAATCACTCTAGGCTTAACCAAGTATTATTTTACATACGAGCTTTTCTAGACTCAACCTTATAACAATGGTTATAAAGGTTACAAAGATATTATTTTCATCCCACTTAGATGTTATACAACCAATATAGTGCACTGAGCTTTTTTACAAGAAAAAATTTATGTTTATATACAAATGTAATTTATAGAGTGTGTTTCTTCGTGTATATTTGTTTTCTATTTGTTTCTATACATATCTCATCTTCTTTCTGAGTTTCGAATCTTCTTATATAGTAGCTTTAGAGAAGATGACCATTACAACATTGAGTCCACCTTACAAGTTTGTTTCGTCTATCTTCAACGTCTTTCCTCATGATGGGAGATAATTGTTGACTCATTTAATGAAAGCATTAAATGCATTTCACCGAATGGTACCTTTTATCTAATTAAGGAAGCTACTTATCATCTTTCCATACCAAACGAAGCTTGTAGGAGAAATGTCAATGTCAAGCAACAACAACAATGCCTTTATTTTCTTTTCTTCGTGACATTAGGGATGTTT